CAAGTGATCTACCCATCTCGTGATGAGCGTGTCTATGCAATCCGCAACACTGCGCGCGCCGAAGGACGCCTCCTCCTGCAGGCTCCCGTTAGTCGTATAGACCATGGGTGGCCAAGCTGCGGCTTGCGAGCCGCATGCGGCTGTTCGTGTGTTAAAGTAGAGCTCACGGCCCCCCCCCCCCCCCCCCCCTTACTCCCCCGCCTCCCTCCCGGTCACACGATCACTTCCCCAAAAAGAGAAATGGAACACGTTTTAAATCGAAAGACAGGTTGCGGTTTGGTAGTCTTGTGCTACCAAACCGCAACCTTATGTATACAGTTGGACTGCTTTTGACTCGGGTAAATCGAAAGTAGTTCGAGCTTCGTTCCTTGCTCCAGACAACAGTTCAGAGCTATAAACGTTGGGCTGTGGATCACATGGTCAGGGGTTCAATTCCCACTGCTTGAATCTCGGTGATTGCGATTGATTATGTTTAACTATGAATAATTACGACTACGTATGCCTCCCATGTTCTTTGTACGTTTATGAGTTGCCTACTACGGACTATATATGCTTTATGTTGCTTCGGCTCGCGTGTAACGCTTTTTCGTTACAATCAAGCGTAATGCCTTTTGCAATAAATCCTGTACACAATCTGTGTTGAAAATGTCCGGAAAGACTTTGAATAAGAGACGAACTATGTTTAGCTAGGCGAATTTTTCAAGTCACCCTGATGGAGGTGCCTTTTATTTTCAGGCTAATATGGAGATTCTTTCTGACTACACCTAAGTAGTTTTGAGAAACGTTGGGTATAGGTCTTAGTTTCCCAAAAAACACCCAATGCGAGTAGCCACCCCACCTGCTTCTAAAAGCCTCCCTGCCTGCACAAAAAAAATTCTAAACGTTTTGCTGGGAGAACCCGGCTTCTTGAGGGGTTCCCATGACGGTGGTACTAACCCACACGCTGCAGACAGAGAAAAGAAAGGCAGAGTCCAGAAGGGCACAGCGTCAACAGACCCAACGGACCAAAAATAGACACAACGAGCCTCTTTCGTGAAACAGCACGGCGAGTTAGAACTCAGTAAATAATAAAACACAAAGAAGAAATGGCGGGACTCAATAACAGGTTGGCACATCAACCACAAGATACGGAGAAGTAAGTGATGCTTTTTTTTTTTTATTTATTAGAGCGATTATCATAACCTACGCAATACGTTTGAAGTAACGGAACTGTAAGGACCAATACAATTCCGTGAAATTGCGGCCCTCCATAAGCCCATAACCAACTAGAAAATTTAGAATGAAAACATTATTTGAGCCTGTACTCTAAAAAAAGTCTGTGCGTCTACTTTCACGTACAACACTTGGAGAGCCAATCAGCGCAACTTACGGAGACAGCTCAGCGAATGACGATGCCAAAACATATGTTCAGACCAAAAAACGCAGTCTGAGTTGTGACATTAAACAATGCAAAACGTCACGCTTGCATTGCTTAATGTCACAACTCGGACTGCGTGTTTTGGTCTAAACATATGTTTCGGAATCGTCATTCGCCGAGCTGCCTCCGTAAGTTGCGCTGATTGGCTCTCCGAGTGTTGTGCGTGAAAGTAGACGCGTAGACTTTTTTTAGAGTGTGTTACCAAAACAAATATGGTTATATTTCCCCAACTTTCCTCGCCTAAATAAAATAACCTGCCATTGTTGTGTAACACGATTAATTGTTTCGCTGTATGCAATTAAGTATGATAAGCGGCAGATTGTTCACTAACCTAAAGAACACAATAACGAAATAAACTTTAAGGGCCGAGAAGGTACGCGGAATTATTGGGTTACACAGGCTTGCTCATTTTGATTTATTTCAAGGAAGAGAATTCGATCTCATTGAGCAGAGCGTCGTGTCAGAGGAATTACACCCAAGGGAAGCGATGCGGGCTCCACCGCTTGAAAGATTTAAGTTCCGTCGGCATCTTAGTTTAAGTTGCTTATGTATTTACTCTAAAAAGTTAGCTGCAATAATGTATGTTTAAATAAGTTTGGCGAGTAAAATGGCTTCCTCAGTGCAGATAAGGCCACTTGAATTATTGTTATTCTGAATCGCAGGATAACACCGAGCAGTGAAGCACCACTGAGAAAAAAAATGGGCTTACTTACGATTTTATCTGGCGATGTTAAATAAAAATAGAGCTAATAAAGCATAAAACGATAGCGACCAAAATAATAACCCTTGATTATAGATTTGTTCTTTGATATAATAAATATAATCAATTGCCAAATCACAAAAAGTGCAGAAAATTGTTTTCCGATGTCTTGTTCAATGAACGCCATTGGCTGGCAGCAATGAGCATAGAAATACATTTTTTTAAATTATATAGCTCGAGGATATACTTTATGGCAGGATGCACAGTAAATCTATAGCTGTGTGACGCAGGAAGTTAAACTAAATGGGGATTTTTCCGGTAGCTATTAGTTTACACTATCGGCTTGACAACGCCGTTATGCCGCTATTTAGCCCTAACCCCCCAACTTCTTTAAGGCAGCGCATTCTCAGTAGTGTCTCACATCACCATTAACAGTCGCATCGATCGTTCAAAAACCCGTTTATCATAACTCTTAGTTAGAATTAGTCAGAAGGTTATAAAATTTACAAGAGGCCTTTGCAGCAGTTCCAGAATATAAAATGTGCATCCTTACTAATTTCGAACTAGGCTCGAAGTACCTCCTTGTTTAAAAAAAACTAATAAAAAAAAAAAACGCACTGCGCGGTGGACCCGTTAATAATTACGAGTGGAGGGGTGCGGGTTACAGTCTAAAAACAAACGATTTTTTTTTTAAATTTCGCAGATTTAGATAGACTCCAATATAGATTTGAAAGTGTCAAGATAAATATAACCACGCATAATGTTATTTGCAAATATTTATAAGGAACACAAAGCACGCTTCTGACAAACGTGAGAAAACAAAATGTCCGGAGACAACATTTCTGGGTGCACGCCTGAAAAGATTAACATCATGTTATCACCTGGTCGTTGGGCGAAGTGGTTAAAGACACGCACGGTAACCGAACGGAAGGATACCATACTGCCGACTATCGCTATTCCCTTTGCTGGTCCCGGAATGAATCCAGGACCCCTGTGGTAAAACCAGTCAGCTGGAACTTAAACCACCGCCCAGATATTAACGTTTTCCACGAGAACTTCAAAATGCGGGAAGCTTTGCTTCCGGTCAGGAAAAGTAGAAAGAGACGAAAAAAAGGGGCGCTCAAAATCCTCCGACGCTTTTTGCTTGCGTGCTGGAGATGTCTAAAGCCCGAGCGCCGGGACTGAACCAGGGCACAAGACAAGAATCGCTCGCGGCATAATTGAAGAATACGAGGAGTGCACTATGCAGCGGCGATTTCTCGAAGATACTATCCAACTAGGCTTCGACGATCGGGGACATCGGATTAGCCACGTTTGTTTTGCTTTCGAACGAGGAGGCGGGGGTCGCCCCGAAATACTTGGTCGCCATGGTCCGTTTCCTGTTTTCCGGGTGGAGGGACAGGGCTGGACGGCCAGGTAGGGAGAGTGGTGCACCGAGGGCCAGATAATGTCGCCAGGACGTGCAGCAGATCACCGCGGTTTTTGTTATATAAAGGGCGGCCCCCCTTGTTACCGAAGCGAACTCGTTCCCAGCTCAATTCTACACCATGAGGTTCCTGGTGAGGTTGCATGTCTGGTCTTCGAGGTTTGGTGGGGGGAGTGGGGTCTTGACAACTTGCTGGGCCGAACATGTTTTTAGGTTCTTAGGAGTTGATGCTTTAGAAGCGTTCTCGGCGTTATGAGTGAATGATGCAGCGGTTTGAAAGTTTTGAACTATTCGGTGTTCGGGGCTGGGCTCCGTGACACGGGTGTGCTGCGACCATTTTCCGCTCCGCGCCTGTTTTTACGGAAAGCGCGACTTTTCAAAAGTTTTTTGTGGAAAGTTTTTCAGGCACCGAATGTTCAGTGACCGTAACTACCCCTTGTTTTGATAATTTATGTTTTGTAATGAAAAAAAAAAAAAAAAGGGTATCTTTTATTTAAGATTCTTTGTTCATGTCCCGAGCAATCATTTGTCACTGCTGGTCTGCAGCTCTTGCTTTAAATCCCATGCACTGTAACGTAAAATGATAAGCTTTGTTGTAGTTTTGATAAAGTTCAGCGTTACGAGCACTACTTTTTTATTTTCTATTGAACAAAACTTGTAGCATACTCTTTAAAATAATAGCAGTGTTTTGGAGTTTAGTACCCTGGTTAGGCCTGCATTAAATTGGAGATGATAATAGCGTCTATTTATTGAATGTGCTCTAAATACGAATGTGAGAATAGTAGATTGAATCAAATATAACTGCGTTATTTATAGCCTTCACAATGCAAAAGGAAGCCCCGAAAATTGGTTATTTTGAGTGTTGAAGCTAGTAATGACACTGCTATATTCGCTTCGATCTACTATTAGCAAACCCCTAGTTCTGGCTATATCATATGCATAATTGAAATTAAGCTAGTTTAGATACACATACAATGTAACCTTTTATGTGATTGTAACATCCAATATGCCAAAAGGTTCTTTTTAAGGGGTTGTAGATCAGTCCCACGTTGTTATTCGTTTGATAACAATGGGCAGTAGTAGGTCAGCTTTTTACCGAGGAGTAAAGGACAGAAAAAAGAAAATCGGTATAATATGCATAAATATGTGCGGGAAATATCGTCTAGCTTCCTGATAGTCCCTGCCTGTTCTTCTTATAGCTGTGGATACTTTTAAGCCATGTAACCGGCAATAATGACTTCGTCTAGCAGTAGACTTCGCTCGCTAAGTGCAAATAGAGGAATATTTACTTCTGAGTAGCATCAGATCAACAAGGAAGTATGTCCTTTGAATACAATAACATATGTTTTCTATATCTGATGCCCTATTCGCTATAGTCAGGTGTCCTTGAGATAAAAGTTGCATTTCTATTGCTTTCTCAAAGACGACCTGGAATACCCGAAGATGACGAGACACACATGCAGGTTGTCGCTGTTGCTGTCTGCGCTCTCGTGGCCACTGCCTCTGCTGGCGGATATGGCGGATATGGCGGATATGGAGGAGGCTTAGGCGGCGGCTACGGAGGTGGTGGATTTGGACTTGGTGGATTCGGAGGCGGTCTTGGCGGAGGCTACGGAGGCGGTGTTGGCCTGGGAAGCAGCGTTGTTTTGCTCGGTGGTGGCGGCGGAGGCGGACTCGTGAAATCAATTGCCGGGCCAGCGTTCCTGGTCAGAAGTGTGCACCACGTCCACAAGCTTCATGGAGGAGGTGCTGTGCTAGCTCACACTGGCTTGGGCGGTGGCTACGGTGGTGGCTTCGGAGGAGGTGGCTTCGGAGGAGGTGGCTTCGGAGGCGGCTTCGGTGGTCTCGGAGGCGGATATGGAGGAGGATATGGCGGCGGATACGGACTTTACAAGAAGGGCTAGAAAACATCACAGTCACCACTTCTTTAATGGTAAATATTGGCTCTAAAGCCAGATTTCGTTGTAAATCCAAAAACGTAAACAACAAAAAAAAAGTTTTTAAATGACGAGTGTTAATAAGCGTCTGTAGCACAAATTTTCATATTGCAGCCTATTGTGGAATGATACTTGATATCATCTGGTTTCTTATCTAGGAAGTAGAAAAATCACATGAAATAAGAGTATTTTTTGCATAATCAAAAGTCAAGCAGAAAATATGCAAAATACGGTAATATGCATTCCAGTAGAACATAATTGTTGACATAAAAAGATGAGTAAAAAATAGCTTTATATATAGTAATCATTTATGCAGACGCTCTGTCACACTTCAGACGAAGAGGCGTAGACATAGCTATCTATCGTCACTGGCAAGATGCGCAGGTCGTCTCTTTTGGGATGCCAGGCTTGCAGCACGTGCTCGTTGCCCTCCGTCGTGCTTTGGCAGCGTGTGCACTGCCCAAGCTCACGAGACGCCAAGGTGTTATCGAAGGTACGAAGTTCGCGCTGGAGCTGGAGCAACTGAAGGGACCTGCTCGATGTTCTCATCCTGCCTGTGACTGCGACAACAAAAACAGCACAAGATAACGTGGAGACTAGGCAGTAGTTATGTGGGGAGAATTACTCAGATGTCAACTCTCGAAACATCGTTAGTGGCTCTACTTAACGCGGAACATTTATGTTTATTTCCAGCTTAAGAAAGCACAAAAGGAAATGACAGAGTCATCATGGAATCTGGCAACTGTCAACCGCACTGGGCGGCCGGACTGCAGTCTCCTCACCGGATTCACGATGCGGGTAGAAACGATGTAAATAAAAAAATGACAGCTGTCTTCCCCATGAACATACCCGGCTTTGGAATCTTTCATTCCTACCGTTTGTTGCTTTTCGCCCTTCAGTTTTCAATTCTCCGCCCCAAGCAGAGGCGCACCATAAAGCCTGCCTCTGTAGCTAGCACTTTGGTTGAAAGAAGGCAAGACCCGTTCGGTCGTCTTTCGGGCAACTCGACCGGCGGCTTGGACATCACCACGTCGAATGATTAGGGGTGTGATGAGCTAAATTATTGTTACTGACTGCCTGTAATAGTAATCATAACCAATTGGTGTTTTATATACGCCATATAAAAGCACACCTTCCGGCTTTTTCTTTTTAGAAGAAGGTATGCGGTCATTGACAGTCTGAAAATGCATAATTTGACAAGCCAGTTCCATGTTCATCACTTCAATAGAGATATTACGTGTTTCTCATCGATAGATGTAACCAGCTTCCAGGGAGTCTCGTGAGCAAAAAATGTTTAGGTTCACTGCGCTTTGCACCCCGTAAACAAATCAAATTCACCAAAGTGAATTTGAGCTATAGTAGAATTATATAGGCACCTTGCTTCAAAAATGCCTCAGAGCGAGTTGTGAAGAGGTAAAGCAACACTTAATAGATAATGCAAGGCCCGTGCACATCTCCTCACCCGCCACCACAAAACTTTAATGCCCGTTGCCCGATGTCGGAGCACCGATTCGACAAAAAGGTATGACGCCATTCTGCGCTTCGTGCTATGGTCTAATCAGTGCATCGCGTTGGTATAAAGTCAAGCCAGGTGCACTGAAGTTTTGGGGTGGGCGAGGTGTGCACGGACCTTGTGGTATCTAAGCGATGGTGACTGAGAAAAAAAAATGCAAGTGGCTAAGGTACGATTGATTTGCATAAATAAATACGCATGCCCGGTGTTTCTTGAGGATTTTTGACTGCAGTAATCACGTTACCCAATGCCAATATTCGAAGCGTTATTTGGTTGAAACCAAGCGAACGCTTGAAAACAACCAAAACTGAAAAAAAAATGAAAGACGTTTACAATTCTCTGTAATGCCAAATTAGAGCGCAGCTCTTGTGGAAGAGAAAGAGAGGGTACGGAGGGGACGGTATGCTTCTCATCCCACTCCGTACCCTCCCCTGCTCCTCTCCTGCTCCCCTCTCTTTTAGCGGGAAATTTTCAATAAATTTCCCACTAAATTTAGCGGGGAAATTTTCCCACGAAAGTAAGCAGGGGCATTTATCCGTTAAAATTAGCAGTGAAATTTGCCCCGCTAAATTTAGCCTGAAAATTTTCCCGCTAACTTTAACGGCGAACATCCCATAACGCAACGCGTGGTTACGCCGCCGCCGCCGACGACGCCAGTCAACCCAAAAACAAGCGCCTAAAAGCTGCGCAAAAAAAAAACAAAAAAAAAAAAAACAACAAGAACGTCGAACAGTTTTTAAGGTATGAGAAATGTGGGCGTTGGTGTCATGACAATTTAAAATGCAGTTTAGAGCCCCAAACATAAATATGTGAGTCATCCATGACCAGTACAATTTTCTGTGTCCGTTTTTTTCTTTTTTTAATTTCGCGAGTTTCTTGTTAGAATGTAGGAGGTGTGATTATTTCACAAAATGGAAATACGACTGGAATAAAAAGTTAAAATACATACAAAAAAAAAAAAAAGAACAGCTACACATACATAAACGGTCGATGTATCTAAGGTGAGTTAGAAACAAATAAATTAGCGAAGGCATCAGCGATGCCGGGTCAGGGAAGAAAAAAGGAGGGGGGGGGGGGGGGAGGAAGAAAAAGAGGGTACGCCTCTCTTCAGCCGCTCTTCAACCGTTTTTCGGTCTATCTTCAGCTGTTTTTCAGCCACTCTTACCTTCTCTGACTACACACTCACGTTACATGTGGGTACTATACACTCCAAAAACTATAGTTTTGAAGTGTATAGTATGGGCAATCGCCAAATATGGGCCATCGCCCATATTTGGCTGGTTCGGGGGCTATTTTAGTGGAAAGCGCTGTAACTACATGGTTACCTGATTCCTGGGTCACTATTCGACCTAGGGTTGCAAGACCAGCTGTCCCAACGCGACTAACCGACTGCCGAGTTGTCGCCATCTCTCACCATGCTTGTAGTCCTGAGGCTGCATAAAGTTCGGGGGCACTGTACTCACCCAGGAAAGTCCCCGTTCCAACCAGGTGCACATGTGCGAGTGGTAACTGATCTCTACTACAGTAAGAAGAAGACGGAAGAAGCCATTTTATCTGCGAGAGACGCAAAGGGGAGGAGAATTGTGCTCAGTTTTACCGACGCTCGAAAAAGACCCAAAGTTAGTAATAGGCCGCCAGGCACGGCTCACTCCTTGAATTTCCAATCAAAAGCAGACACAGTTCGACTTAGGTGGATCGATGCTGCGCATGTAGCCTCTTTGATCTGGGATATCGTGCTCGTTGAGAGTTCGATCTTGCAAAAACTGTTTGCGAGCTAGAATATCCGGCGTCGCACCTAGTTTCCTGGATTCGGAGAAATACCCGGGGATGTACGGAAAGAATGCAAAATCGCAATGGACGTTCGCACGTGCTGCTACTGACGTCGGTTTTGGGTATAAAAGGACCATGCTCGCTCCTAAGGTTCAGTCAGCTCCAGTTGAAGTCAACAATGAAGGCCCTGGTAAGAAGTGCAACAACTACTTTTTTGTCTGAGGATATGAGTATTCACCTAAGAAATATTATAGATTTAAATGCTAGGGTAGCCCAGCAGGCTCTTGATATTAACACTCAAATTAGATTTCACTTTGGAGCAGTGTAATGTTCTAAGAAGATTGACTAACAGATGGCGAATATGTTGCTCAGGAAGTGCAATTTTGTTTTCGAATTCCTACGAGTATAATCATACCGCGCTTTCCATTGAGGCTACTGTCTCAGCCAGAGGATCCCAGAGGAAGGCTTAAAAATGGGGTTGATATCTAGAAAAAAAGATAGTAATATTTTTAGAACATTATATGACTAAAAAAGGCTACATTTATTAGTTAATTGAATTGTGACGACGAGCTGGGTTAGCACAAAAATTGTAATGCCGGAGCTTGGAAAGAAGCGGGTCAGAAACAACACGGACCTCAAAACCAAACGCAAAACACAAAGTTCGTAACGAAGATAAATTTGATTTTACAAGCCTCAACCTTATGTAGAGCCACAAATAGAGCACAAATGTCGATGGTGCCTGGATCTTCGCATTCGAGCTTGTCCCATATCTTCCCACGCTCCAGAGTTACAATGTCTGTTTATATGTTTGTAATTCACATAGTCATGAGTTAGTTCTTCTGTCACCTCGAATGGCGTTGAAAATGATGTAATTGAATCACATGCAACGAATGTTGAAAACAGACGTGGTCTTTACAGATATCCATCCCCTTACATACAGCATGGGCTTGCATTCTCATATAAACCTGTCTAAAGAGGAAATTATTGTCAGACTGCAACGCTTCACTAGACTGACAAAGATAACAATTGATTTCAAGCCTACCCTGCTTCCTGTCCTGCTGCAGATCTCGAGCATCTGTTTCTGCTCCCTCCTGGTTACCGCTTTCGCTGGCGGATTAGTTGGCTATGGAGGGGGCTATGGACCATACGGAGCATACGGCGCAGTTGGAGTCAACGGAGTTGGATTAGGAAGCAGCGTTGTTCTTCTCAACGGAGGTGGCGGTGCTGGACTGTCGAAAGTAGTGGCCGGACCAGCCTTCCTGGTCAGGAGCGTCCACCACGTTAATAAAGTTAGCAGTGGAGGTGCTGTCGTAGCACACACTGGTTTTGGAGGCGCATACAGGGGCGGATTTGCAGGCTTCGGTCCTGGTGGCTACGGCCTTGGAGGTTATGGCCCTGGCGGCTACGGCCTTGGTGGCTATGGTCTTGGTGGCTACGGTCTTGGTGGTTACGGTCTTGGTGGTTACGGTTTTGGAGGCTACGGGCTTGGTGGCTACGGGCTTGGTGGCTATGGATTTGGTGACTACAAGGGTTGACTGTATGCGGCCAACAAGAGCCCCCCCCCCCCCCCCCCCCCCATCCTAAGCATGGTAAGTAAACTTCAAAATTATCCACGTTGAGCTTCCCCTTGAATTCTAAGTCTCCCCCCCCACCCTTCTTCCTCAGCCCTGTGTACAAAAATATAGTATATAACAGCTTAAGGATGTACGGAGTGGCTTATCTGATTTATTTATAACTCATACGGCAAAGATTCGCAGGTTACAGCGTTGTACACCACCTCCGGAGTGTCTATATTATCATGTCGAAGGAAAGTAAAGCGTTTTTAAAGTTTTTGCATAATATAAACTCATATTAAAGCTGGTTTAAATTTTGATGATTATTTGGTATAACGCGAGTCGTGATACAAGGGAGAAGCACGCTAATTTGCTCCTTGAGTTCTGTTGTGGAAAATATGTTTTTAAGTACTCCTTTCTTCCTCGTCCTGTTTATGAAAGGAATGAGTTGCCCCCAAGTGTGACGCTTATACCGCTTTATTTGCAAGTGCAGTTGATGAATTTTTTTGTCACCAATGACTAAGCTATTTGTTAATTGTTGTTGTGCTTACTCGACTCATTGATTGTTTCTGATGTCTTATCATGCTTTAGCCCTCAAAAGTTGGCCGGCAGTATTCTCAAATAAATAATAATAAAAAACCTTCAGCCTTTCCACCCTGGTGAAGAAGGAAGACCAGCGAAGCTGTACTATGGTGGAAATAAAGTAATGGCCGTCCGCAAGTCGGCAAGCCAGAGTAGTAACATTGGCCAGAGTGGAAATGCTGGAAAGGTGGCTGTGATCTATGAGCGACGGCGGCAAGCAGACAACCGGCAAACACAACACTACAAAACACTCTGAACAGCTACCGCCATCTATGAGCGACGGTGGCAACCACAGTGCTTTGTCGACATTTGTTTGGTACCGGACACGATAATGGGGAAACTAGCCCTGAACAGCTCCACTGTAAAAAAGAAAAAAAAAGAAAACATTTTATGCTTTTTATTTTAGAATTCAATATTCGGCGTTTCTACCGGCGCCGCAATTCGATTGGTCAAGGAGCGATAATTTGATGCCTATAGGACTTGCTCCGCCTTGCGTTCCTTAAAGTGTTATTGACTATGAAGTTATTGACAGATGGTCTCCAGAAAACCTGAAGGTAAATAGAAAGAGCTTATCAGCAATGGAAGCGCGCAAATTGGGCTGTTCTGTGCTTTGCTTTTCTATAAACAGATGTCAGCATCGAATACGTCACAAGGCGGGTCACAGCCGGCTGGATCAAGCGGCTCAGCCATTGTCAAAAACGAGGGAAAAAAATTGGAGAAATTAAAACATTGAAAGTTGCCGTCGAATGTTGCTCCCGTCTTGTATTCTTTCACGCTTGTCTGCTTTCCAGTGAGAGTCAAGCGGACAAAAGCGGATCCGGAACAAACTATGATAAATATCTTGCGTGGAGTGTGCTTGATAGGAACATGCATATTATTCCAACGTTGTCTCGTGAAATCAGGTGTGCAGAGTTTGGCCCTATTGTCTGCTTCACTCTAGGTCAGACCGCAGCCAACGCTATGCGGAGCGCAAGTTCGTCTGCTTCTTGCACGCGGGTTGCGATGATGTCAAAACGCCGATCTCGCACTGGCTGATTGAACAAAATGTGGGTAGTCGAGCTCAGGGCATTTAGCATTGAGGTCTACCCACTGTCCTTCCAATCGGAGCCAATCAGAGCTCGGCGTCGTTCTGACGTCACCGCAACTCCTGCGCAAGAAGCAGACGACTTGCATGCTCTCCGCGTAGAATGCGATGGAGCCAATCAAGCAGCGCCAAAAGTTGCACCGTCACGGCTCTCGTTGTCTTTAAAGTTTCCCAGCAGCGACTAAGCCAATCACGCACTGAAAAAAAAAAAAAAAAAAAAAAGCGCAGGTCCCGGCGCATTCACTTTACGTTATTGGTGAAGTCGGCAAGAAGTCGGGTCAGACTTTAAGTGAATCTGAGTATAGACCAACTCGACTCTCTGACGTCACGCCACTGCGGGGGCGCTGCTGTCGGCACTGCACATGCGCAGACGTCTCACCTCAAACGGATCTGGGTTCTGCGCACGCGCAGTGCCCCCCTCCCCTCGGTGTGGGCAAACGCAGCTTGTTCGTAAACAACGTGTTCGTCGATAGAAGGCTTCTATCGGGACGACGAATATGCCCGCGTGGCGAATCAACCAAGGACACTAGGTTTGGTGTTTTCCATTGGACGCAAAGTGTTACGGAAGAGTTGTTTCATCATTATCAAAGCAAAATACGCGGACTCAACAAGACAACAATGACAGTTTAATTAGATGAAGAATACCGTATATCCTATAGAGGAGACGTATTCATTGCGTGCCAAAATGGGGACACGAATAAACATGGGCGAAAGCCGTAAACTCGCGAAAGAAACTTCTCGCATTCCAGCTCCCACCACCCAGTGGGAACATGTAGTACGAGCTGTAATACGAAAAATTCTCCACCGGTCTGAATATACTATACGTCGAACCCTGAAACCTGCGTGTGTCCGGAGAAACACTCATTGTAGAACTCCCCGCGGAACTTAAGTACATTCCCAATGAGTTATTGAAAACACACGTACACAGATGCACCGAGGAAGGCGTGAGGAGCGGAAAGCCAATCTTACGTTAAGTCCTGCCGCTATTCCATACGCTGGCGTTTCGGGGTTCACGATGAGCGAATGGAACACGCTCCCTGAAGGTGCTCTCAATTCAGAATCACCGACTCTTTTTCATCACACGCTACCTAAGCCTTTCTCCGTCGAGTAGTTGCCTGCATGGCATTACGATGATATGTTTTGTCTCTTTTGTAGTAAGTATTTTACTACCTTGGTGTTTATATAGAATTCTGTCAGTATAGACAAATAAATAAATAAATAAATAAATAAATAAATAAATAAATAAATATATATATATATATATATATATATATATATATATATATATATATATATATATATATATATATATATATATATATATATATATATATATATATATATATATATATATATATATGGGTGGTTTCATCTCAAATCGTGCAGGCAAAAAGGGTCAAATTTTTAATTTCGATGAAAAAAATATATGTCATGGCGCCTTTTCTAAAACCGCAGTCGACACAAACCTCAAGTTCGTCGGATTTTTCGTTCTCCACTTATGAATTTTTAAAGAGGCCGCGGCGAAAAGCAGTGTTTTTCACACCCGTCGTGGGTCGGATGTTTCGCTTGATCTCTCGCCATGGATTTTCGGTCCACATTATATTATTTTTTTTGAAGCACTCTGTGGACACATTTAAAAAGCTCCAATACCATGAAATAATTTTAGGCCTTTTGCTTTTTTTCTGTAAAAATGTCAAAAACGCCTCCTCGGTCAATTGATGACGAACTTTGACAATTAATTACTGGCGATCTACTTGGGTTACACCGATATTTTTTATGTCCACGAAGAGCCCAAAACACGCTCTTTATATTTATTATAAAATTCCTTGGCTGTATGAGATATCCTTTGCGGTACGTTTACGTTAATATTATGCAAAAACCAAAAAGTACCATTTTTGAAATTGATTTTCTCAAAAAACCCATTTTTTATTTTTTTTATTTTTTGATCAAATGTAGATATGATAGTTGTCTACACGAAAATCAAGCCTAGAAAGTGTATATTTTGTTTGTATGTTCTACATTTAAGCATCAATATCGTACAAAAACGTATTTTTACGGCTAGAAATGGACTTGCGAACTGCGCGTCTTCACAAGCTTGGAAATAGTTTTTTCTTTTTTTCAACATTCCCACATAAAAATTAAATACAGTATTTCCACCCTGATATATTTATTGATTATTTTAATTTTATTATTGGCGGCAAGCTACATCGGAGGAGTTCCAAAAAGAGAAAGCAACACTTCTTAACACACCAGCAGGTGTCGTAAATTTTTAACGTGTAGGAGTCCGCAGACGTCTTATTGATTCGGGGCCCTCATTGGCCTGCATGAACGTCCCGGCCTTTCGGAGCCAGCAGATGACCACGACCTTTTCGCGCTCGTTGTGTTAGATGGGACGGCCCGTGACAGTAAAGCGAGCAGCGCACCCTGTGTCACGAGGAGTGGAATGGTACGATTGTGTTGTTGACGCGGCGAACAGTGACAGCCACCCAGGAGGAGTCTGTCAGAGTATTGCACAAGGGAAAGCAAAGGAATCGTTGCCTGAAAGGATGAAGACACCACGGCCTTACAATGTCGACGGTCAACGACTGTTCTGCCAGCCTAAACAACGCCGCGGGCGCGCTAAAACCGACGGCGCGGGACAGAAATCCCGCAGACCCACACACGAAGATGGGCCGGTTTCGTTAGGGATGTGGGGAAATTTGAAACCAGCCATCCGTGCATACCGCCTGTTTGCCCTAGCTTCGAGCGCCCTATCCTTACCTTGAAACGGCCGTGCTCTCTCTCTCTCTCCGGGGAGGTCCGATAGCATCGAAGGGTTATCTATTAAACTTGAGGAAGAAAACGAGAAGGGAGTGTTTAAGTTTAATTATCCCGACCAACCCGCTCGTTCTGTCCTTATAAAGGGTTATCTCTTTTGGAAAGAGCAAAGCACGGAGACTGACATTAAAACGAGCGTGTTGGTAAATATACTTGTGTTTGTATTCTGCCCGGAGACTAGTTGGGTCGAAGTCAGCCTCCTTGTCAACTATAACCGTTTGTGAAGAGTGGGCTTCTCCCGAGATGAAACGTTAGCGCCGGCTGACGTGTTCTTTTGAAAAAGGGAAGGGGAAAGAGAAAGTTTGAGTAACTGCAGAAACTACCTCGAAAGCTCCTCTCCCGATATGAAGCTTGAATCATAGTCTCGGTTACCTTCTCGCGCATCGCCTGCTCGAATCTATTCTTCACTTTCTTTCGTACAGCCACTGATCCGCACAGCCGTCGTGGATGCGCGTAATAGAGGGAGGAACAGATTCGAGCATCATCTGGACGCCGTCATCCTGCCAGACTTCAATGTCGTGGGGCCGACTCGTGTGTGTTCCTTCGCCCCGCTGAACTTTGTTTCTCGGGTGCGGTTTTTTCTGAACGTTTTTTTTTTCAATGTTTTCTTACTAACTGTTTGTTAGCACTGTTCAGCTGTTGGGTTTATTTCGTCATGGCGTAGCGGCCTGGCGGTGATGTAGAGAGCGTGTTCGCACGCATTTGGTTGCTTCCCGTTTAGGGAATGCCCGGGGGAGTTGGTTTTTGTTCTTGCCATGTGCGACTGAGTTTTCCCGTCTTTATTAAATTATTGATTTTTTTTTTGTTTTACCTTTACGTGCCGTCGACTTCTTTGTCTGACTCTCCACCAGGCGTGGACCTATCGCCTTGCCACCGCTCGAACTTAAATACTTTATTTTATTTATTTATTTTTTTTAACGCAATTTTCGTTAAGATCGGAGTTGGGCAATTTAATTCCTATTTATTTATTTTTATTTCCTACCCCTCTCCGTGACACACTCTCTGTGCGTTTCGGACCATTTCTGTGTCACCACTTTTGTGTATTACGGAAGTGAAAGCACATTCCCTGGTGACCTGTGCGATGTGCGGTGAACAAGCCCCAGTGTTTGGTTTCGTAAAGAATTGTATATAATATATCGACGATGTGGTGACTTTCTTTGTCTTAGTAATATGACAGCTAATAGCTAGTCGTGCTAGTTTACTTTGAAAGGTTTATAAATCGAAACAATACAACGTCTGTGCCTTTTGGTTATTGAAAGTCAACTAGGCCTGCTGATTTGGTTAGATATGTATCTCATGGTTCCCGCTCTTATCAAAACATACATAAATATTCAATACCACAAAATTCGTTTATAATTGATTACAAAATGCAGAAGAAAATCCAAGAAAACTTTTTCACAATTCATAGAGACGCATGGGTCGCTATGTCTGACTTAGGTCTTGCAAAACAAAGACGTCTTCTTCCGATATTGAGGCCTAAATATAAAACATGCAAACAAAATATACACTTTCTAGGCTTGATTTTCGTGTAGGCAACTATCATATCTACATTTGAACAAAAAATAAAAAAAATAAAAAATGGGTTTTTTGAGAAAATCAATTTCAAATATGGTACTCTTTTGGTTTTTGCATAATATTAACGCAAAACTTACCGCGAAGGATATTTTATACAGCCAAGGAATTTTATAATAAATATAAAGAGCGTGTTTTGGGCTCTCCGTGGACATAAAAAAACATCGGTGTAATCCAAGTAGATCGCCAGTAATTAATTGTCAAAGTTCGTCAACAATTGACCGAGGAGGCGTTTTTGACATTTTTACAGAAAAAAGTAAAAGGCCTAAAATTATTTCATGGTATTGGAGCCTTTTAAATGTGTCCACAGAGTGCTTCAAAAAAAGATAATATAATGTGGACCGAAAATCCATGGCGGGAGATCAAGCGAAACATCCGATCCACGACGGGTGTGAAAAACACTGCTTTTCGCCGCGGCATCTTTAAAAATTCATAAGTGGAGAACAAAAAATCCGACGAACTTGCGGTTTGTGTCGACTGCGGTTTTAGAAACGGCGCCATAACATATATTTTTTTTCATCGAAATTAAAAATTTGACCCTTTTTGCCTGCACGATTTGAGATGAAACCACCCATATATATATAAAGCAAAATATTACCTGCCCCCCCCCCCCCCCCCCCCTCTATCTCTTCCTGAAAAAATCCGGAGCGCATGATGCCATGTATACAAGTTAAACTCTCTGGGCTGTGACGCATAGCGCACCGGGAAGACCCGCCCATAATCCAGTACATCGGCTTGCAACTCCAACCGTAGATGGGGACTTTTCCCCGATGCTTATGCTAACCTACTCATAAAGCCGCACTGGTCCATGTATGATGAAGAAAACGTCCGATTAAATTGTTTTATTGTTGTATCAAGTTCGTGTAGTTTGCCTCATAAATAAAATGTAAAAAATACCACTGTCGTGCTCGCACTAATTGTTCCGCGAAGGGTACAGTCGAGTACGATACCAACGAAGTTATAGCGAAAGTGAGGGATTTCACTCCGACCACATGCCACATGCCGGCGACGAGAAGACCTACCAGGACAAAAAGAACGTTGCTATAAAGATTTGGCGGATCAGCCTTCGATCGGTTTGTGGTTGATAATACTTCTTTTGTATGAACGTTCTTAATAAACTAGTCACAATAAACTATAATCACTAGACTTAACGACACTTACCGTAAACTGCAGTTAGCTGCTACTTCACACAAATTCACAGTTCTCAATCACCTCACTGAACGCGATCGCGTGGTTTCAGAACAGAAGATATATTTACAGATTTGACGGCTTCTAACTAGGAATAACAATAAAACACCAGTTGAAAACAAACAGACTAAACCTAACCGATCTCACCAGCCAGTTCAGCAATGCCGCCGCTGCCGCAATGCTTCGCGGGAACTTTTTCTTTTTTTTTCACTGTGCAACAAACTCGTTGCTGTTATGTCGCCTGATTTCTGTGGACCAAAGTTATGGCGGCGTCACGCATGTGCCTACACTTCAACGAAATTTATATAATAGAGTTTGGTTGTCCAGCATAAATCGATATTCATGTTCCCCCCCCCCCCCCCCCCCCCTAATTAGGTAAAATTTTAAGTGACTCTTTCGACATGAGATCGTCCAAGGCGCCCGAGACAATTCCGCGCCTCGCACTGCCTCTATGGGCGCCGCCATCTTCTTTGTTAGCGAGGTCAAACTGAGGTTGACAAGCTCTGTCTACGCTAACTATGATCACCGGGATAAATGCAGTTATGGTATGCCATGTTACTGCGCAAAACTGCATTTAGATGTAACTGCGGTCAGTTTCACTGCCGTTTAGGCTGCCCGAGTAATAGGGGCATTAACCGTTACAAGCGAATGAATGAACAGCTCACATTGCCGCGACATTTAAACTTCGAGATGTACTCCCAAGCCTTACTCAGTAATATGGGCTCGACTGGCAGATAAATGAGTGCGATGAGGACGATGCCCCAGTCGTACGTTATAGCCGTCCCTCTCACCAATGCTACCAGTCACAGCTCTGTAAGTGTAGTTTTTTTTTTTTTTTTTTTTTTATCGTCGACATTGGTCGTGTGGGGCCGTAGTCAGTAAGTAGTTTCTTTGTGCAGCAAATTCATTCCTCATGTTGGCCACTGTATTTTTATTTTGTATTTTTATTTGAAAAGAGCATACATATATATATTTCATCTCCGTACACCATGTTAAAATAAAGAAAGATTGCTAGGGCTGGAAAATTCTTTGACAATAAATCCGTCTCAGATACGCCCTCCCCCCCCCCCCCCTCCCCCCAATCTGACAGGGCAACTTTAAAGCCGGGAGTCTCAATATTATTGCAATAGTAACCCTGGGCTAGTTTCCGGCTTCCTTGGCACTGGAGCCACAATAAAGCTGAAATAGATCGCCGGAGCTGCTCTTCAATTGTACATTTCCCTATATTCCAGTCGTTAACGCAGTCCAAAAGTTTTCTGAACATGTTAATTTGCAAAGCGTGCATCATATACCATGTGTAAAATACCAATACAAAGCAAAATCGAAGTATAAAGAGTTTATTTGAAACGTTGTTTTGTGGTCGGTCGTGGATCGGTGACTGTAAAGCCCTGAACCAGATGGTGGCTCTCCGACCGGTGATGATGGGACTTGGTGTCCTCTCCTGCTAAAAAAAAAAAGCTTTATAGTAAAAGCATTTTACAATACTATTTCATAATGTTAATTTTCTAAGTGTAATCTGAGTGAATTTCACTGGTTTGTACCTGATATAAAGAGGTGAGAATTATGCGGATCATGCTTAGAGTTCTCAGCCTACACGTTAAATGGTAGCATAACTAATGGCATAAAAATTTTAGAAGCAAAATTACCTCTCCCGAAGTGTTGTGTTCTTGGCGATTGTGCCTCAACCCTTATAGCCTCCATAGCCTCCATAGCCTCCATAGCCTCCATAGCCTCCATAGCCTCCATAGCCGCCAAGCCCGTAGCCGCCCAGTCCGTAGCCACCAAAGCCACCTCCAAGACCCCCTCCAAGACCACCGAGACCACCTCCAGGGCCAAATCCACCGGATCCAGGACCGTATCCGCCTCCCAAGCCAGTATGGGCTATGACGTTTCCTCCGCTGGAAAGTTTGTTAACGTGATGGACACTCCTGACTAAAAATGCTGGCCCAGCCACTGCCTTGGCCAGCCCGGCACCACCGCCGCCGTTGAGAAGGACAACGCTGCTTCCTAATCCTACTCCGTTGACACCGACCGGGCCGTATCCACCGTATCCACCGTATCCACCGTATCCACCGTATCCACCGTACCCTCCGTAGCCACCGTATCCACCGTATCCACCATAGCCAGTAATCACTCCACCGGAGAAAGCCGTGGCCAAGAGGGAGCACAGAACGATGCTTGCAATCTACACAGAAAAACGAAAAACAAAAACAAAACGAAACTTTATTAATACTTTGAAGTATTTAGTCATCCAGTGTGCAGGGCGCTGACAAACAGTTTCACATTTCGCGGTTCTTAAAGAGTCCAGGTACTGATTAAATCCCCAAACTATACAAAGCGAATGACGCGACAAGTTTGAAATATGTGTTCGGTACTTTGGCGCCTGCACTCTAAAAGAATGGTGTCGTCTTTTACACTTTTGTTTCATATATTGCATCCCAAAGCTTTAGTTCGACGTACAGCGCACTGACGTCGACAAGACGGCCCCAACGTTTAGGAGGGGCATGATAAGGGTGAAATATACCTCATTAAACAGCTAAAGGACGTATTAAAGACTACACAAGAAAGAAAATACACTGAGGTTTTGCAGTAGAGCCAGGAAAACCACGACTACTTTTTTTTTTTTGTCAGTAACACTTACATGAGCCATTTTAGTAAGATGTACCCTTCGGCTAGCTAGCCGCTCGTGAAAGTTGGTACAGCCGATTCGCCGACAGCGCGCTGACCGTCGAACTGAGGTTTTGAGGTGTCTTATGGGGGACAAGGAGTGTAAGTATACTTTTTTTTTTTTTTTTTCTGAGAGTGTGTCCTTTCGCTTTGGTTGTGAGTACTAGCTCATAAACATATGCTAGCATATAATGGGAGACGAAAAATTTGACCTAAAACACGTATTTGAAACTTCACTGTCGCAGTCTTAGGAGCCTAAATTACGTACGGTTTTGCCGCTTGACATCTCAATATGCAGATGTGTATCTATAGCAGTTGACCTTAAAACTAGATGTAGGTATTCGGAATGCCATGGGGACATTAGTGCAACTGAAGGCGAGCAGAGTGGCTCTAATCTAAACACTTGGCGAAGAAGTCGGCGATGAATTCGGCGGCTGTAATTGACCGGCGCCGTGCTTGACGTCGGCGCGGGACAATCACGGCGGTCAATATCTTCGTCGACGTTTTGGTCAAGTCTCCAGATTAGAGCTCCTCACCTGACTACAATGAAATAAGTGCCCTGATCGCAGAAAGTCTCACTTTGCTTAGTAACGACCGCTATCATAATGTTTCGATGAATATACATATCTAATGTGTGGTGCAGGTGATGGAAACTAAAGGGTTCAGTCAGCTTATACCCCAATTACAGAAGTTGAAGCATTTGTTCAGAAACAAGGAATAAAAACCGATCTAAAAAATAACTACGGGGAGATTGATCTATAGCTAGCGAACTTTTACAATGTTATGATTTTTTATATGCTGCTCAATATTATGGCTATGTAACTCTTTGTTGTCCGTCCCCCCTTTCTATGTATCTTCCTCATGTTTAATGGCTACCAAGTACCCCGTTAATTTACCCTAACTCCGCGTTAATAATGAAAGTTAATTGGTTGTGTCCGGTGATATCTGAACTCTAACATTTATCTCTTTAGCTATGCCCAAAAAGTCAATGACCAATGAGCAACCCTTCCATCTCAAACGCAGAAAAGATTTGCAGAACAACTCACCGTGGTCTTCATGGTGGAATTCAGTTGCAACTGACTGATACTTCGAGGAGAAAGCTGGCTCTTTTTATACGCTTAGGACGCATCACTCTGTATCACGTCCGAGCACGTGCTACAGCTTTAACCTCTTCCGCAGCCTCCTGGTGATCTCTTGTCAACCAGGAAGCGAGTTCCCATGGCGGATATTTTACTGCTTAGAGTGTAAACCAAGATCGAAAACGTGCTGAAGGCTGTGCCCCAGATCAACGATCCACGCGAATAGCATCCTTATAACTAAATCTGACTGCAGAAATCTCACGGCTTCCATTGCATTGCTAATACAAAAAGGGTTCATGCATTCTAAGAATACAAAAGTATATAGGCGAGCGAGCTGATTAGGAAAAGAAATGTATAATCTAAACACTGAGACAAGAAAAATATAATGTATTGCGTTGCTATTCGTATTGGTTATCTTGAGGCGGGTTACCAACTAGTAGCACGTTTTGTAACAAATTCCTCCTTCCTTCATGAAACTATTCGCCATCAGTAAACAAATTCCGACAATACTCCTTTCTGATCATAAAAAAAGGCTAAACTTTCACGTTCCCGATTAACTAAGAAATATATCGAAACCAAAAAAAAAAAAAAAAAACTCTTTGCAACATTATTTTAAGCCCCCCCCCCCCCCCAAAAAAAAAAAAAAAAAAAAAAAGCAGAAGACATGAAGGAGCTTGTTAGCTGTAGGAAATGAAAGCGCGAGACATGCCTGTCTTCGTCTTTATTGGTTTCACGCATTTAATGCCTACATATATGTATACCTAAAACAATTCCGACTGTATTAAGCAGTTTGTGCTGTGACTGTAAAGATCTCTCCTACCATTTTTGCATCCTTCGTTGTGGTAAGAGACCGAAGGGAAAAATAAAGGGTACAATTAACACAAATAATACACTGTCAAGACTGAACAGACTGAGAGCGTGGCAGTCCGAGGCGCAAATACTGACTTCCCATAATCTAGCCGTGGTCTGAAGTGCCGACTTTTAGGCCTCCAACTAATTTTTGAAGCTAGACCAGACGTGTGTTGAAAACATTATGCAGCCGTCAAAACGGTGGGCGGTGGACCTAATTTAAACATGGAACAGTCGTATTGCTCTAATATTTGATTACATTATTCAAGGCATATTAATTTGTGGTGATAACAAGCGGGATGAAAAAAAAAAAAAAAGACGCGATGAGTTTGACGGAGGCTTTGCCGCTATGGCAGTACTAACTGATCGTGGCTTTAATACAGAGACAGTATCAAGAGACTGTCTCCTGTATTACACTGTGATCAGATAATATAGACACGACATAAATAATCATCAAGCAATGGTGGCGACATATGGTGACACGAACTAAACTACAGATCAACACAAGAAGGATGACGTTAGGTTAATTAACTAAAGCCATTAAATATCGAATTCAATTAATCTGGTTATTTGGTAGTAGAAAGAATATTGGCATGCGAGTTCGATTTTCCCGAAGTAATAATATCTGTTGTACGGTTACTTGTGTGACAATTTTAAGCTTGTTCTAAAGTTAAGCGGTTCTGAATATGTCGTTTATTGCGCGGATTGTAAGTTTTAAGCTAGTACAAAGAAATGTGTCAAAGTAAAGAGACAGTTGTTACAACATTAAATAGGAGGATGGTGGCTTCGTTAGACTATTATCTTCGAGTGTAATTTTCATTTCTGGCTTATTGCGTGGTTTTATTTGAAATAACAATACAGATACGAAATAGCATACGAGAGAAAATTAATTATTCAAAAACTTTAATGCATTCCGTCGCATGGGTGATTATCGCCATGCAACCATATTCCATCGTTTCTACAGAAATTGCCTCGCTAGGTATTCACTATGGAAACTTTTACGACAACCAGAAGACTGACGAGAAACCAGGAAGCAGTAGCCCGAGGTCCCAAACAGATAACCCCGTTTTTCAGCGACGAGCTCAAGGAAGCACCAAAAATGGATCCTAACTTCGCAAACAGCATCGTTCCAGTCATGAATAGCGAACGATAAGAATCAACCGGACGGGTATTTATCTAAACACAATCGACCGCACGTAATATTTGCCAGCTGCCGCAAAGACTTTTAAACCAAATCTCTCCATGCAGTAAACCTATAATCTTAAACATCGTAATTTTTTAAAGATTGCACTTATCTTCTTGTTGCGCTATGTTAGGTTAGGCCTGAGATTCTTCTGTGGACAATTTTAAGGAGTCTATTCTGGGCACAGATTTGGCTATGATCCGGAAGTGCCTATTATGGTAAAGCAACGGGCTACAAGAAAGAGAGTACCTCGGTTCTCGCTTATAAAAGGGTGCTGTTTTCCCTCGAATGCGAGGCAGTTCCGACAGAACTTGGGACCATGATTGTTCAGGTAGAGTTCTTTAATGATTGTTTATTAACGACATTTGCGAATCGATTGCGTCTTTTTATGTTCTGTTTATATGAAGCTGCCGCAGGACAGCTATGCTCAAAATATAGGTTTGTGTTAGATATAGGAGTAGTAAAATATAGCACTCTTAGATTTCTAAAAATACCACTTTTGCTGGTCTAAGTTTGTCGGAAGGTATCTTTTTGCGACTTTAGATAATGGTTAGCGTATTTGTCAACTCAGCCAACGAAATACATCCTATTGGGTAGCAGTGGAATGTGCATTAGCTAATCATTATGTTTGTTCTCGGTAAAAGAAAACTTAGGAAAATAAAACCGGTTTTAAGCATCAATTAAAGTACAAAGTATGTTAGTGATTTATAATATGACATAATTACAAGCACTTCCAGCATTCGTCTCTCGTGCTCCACATGGAACTGTGGCACGAACGATTTCCTAAGGCGCACTGTGATTTGTATTTGGTAACTGGTGAGTTATTCATGAATAATAATTCCCGCAAAAGGAAACCAGAAAATATTTTACCAAACCGACAACATGGAAAAAAAACAAAAAAAAAACACTGGAATACAGTTTAAAATGGAATGGAGAGGATTCCTACCAAGGGTAAAATATAAAAAAATTGATAAAAAACTACTGCACTAGTTTTATTAATTACTCCATGGGAAGCCAAGTCATAGAATAAAAGAGCGGTTACACGGAGTCAACGCGTGTTGCAACCAAACAGGTTCTCAAACTTTAATCATATGCAAAACCAACAACTGGCGCAAAACAGAACGAGAATTTGTATGGGACGCTGAAGTAGAATGATTTTTTTCCACCTCAAATATAACGTGAATATATGTAGGCGTCATTTGAGAGATGCAAGCTACTGCGGTGGCTTCGATGAAGAAGGCCGAGCTACAAACTCCCATTTGGCGAGCTGGAATTCCGCAGGGGCCGGGGTTGCGCGCAATCTTATTGAGAATTATTGTTTCCTACTATAAGACCGATCTCTTCAATACTTCGTAGTGACGCGTAGATCCTCCTTTAGCTAGTTAGGCTCAAACCCCCCCCCCCCTCCCCCTCTCCCCCTCAAAGTGTTAATGAAGCTATGCGATTGAAGGTGGTTTTTAGAAATAAAGTAAAAAGGCAAAGTACAAAGAGCGGGTTGGTGAAAATATGAGAAAAAAATGAAAACACTTAGGGACGAGGACAGACAGCATAGTTCTTTCAGCTAGTAACGAATGTTCGTTGGTAGTTAAAAGAACTGTACTGTCTGTCCTTGTCCCTAAGTGTCTTCATGTTGCAAATAGCACGGGACTGGGGTATGAAATAGAAACTTAAACGCAGAAAGGACGAGCACTAAAAATCCTTTAATTCTTGAAAAAAAGAAAAAAAAAAGAAAAAAAAGGCCTTACAATGAAAGTTTCGGGATGATGGCTTCCACCGAAGAAGTACAGTTGAGTGAACATTCTCAGGAATCTGGATCGCCTATTTTCCCACAGAGCACTTGGAAGAGACAATCGAGGAAATCTACGGAGTCTAAACAAAATATGTTTTGACCCAAGAAAACAGTGCTCATTGCGACAGTGAACATGATGTTTCACATTGCTCAGTGCTACAGCGTAGATTGTGTTTCTAGGTCGAAATATATTTTGAGCCTAACATTCGCCCAGCTAGACTGACCGCGATTGGCTCTCTGAAACTGTAACGTAAACCGGAGTTTTTTTTAGTTATTTTTTTTTAGAAGGGGCAAAAAAAAGGGGGGGGGGGGGTCAAATTGCAGGTGTACATCATAGGGTCGGCTGGATTTCAGGGGCGGAGCCAGAAGCCCCATAAACTACCCACCCGTGGCTACGCCAGTGCTCCCAAGTGCTTCGAGGGAAAATAGATACTCCAGATTTCTTAGAGTGTACAGTGCACCCGAATGCTGAACTGCTGATCCTCATTTTGTTTTTACGGCTGACAGGCTACTCTCGGAACTACTATATGTGCTGGAATGTGTGTAGGTCGAGTATAAATTTGGGGGTCTAAAGGTATCATGCACTGCTCTATCGTAACATAATAGGAGAGGCGCTTCCCTCGAAAGAAGAAAGTAGCATCTCAATGCTCTTCTCGGTACGAACGCATTATTTTTTTTTCGATATTACGGAAGAAAACGAGCATTAGTTGGCGCCATCCTTCGGGATTAGCGTCCCCTAAAGAAAAAAAAAAAAAAAAAAGAAATCAATCATTTGTCTAATATTGACTGCAGCACCATGCAGTGGGTAGTGAGTGGAATGTTGTTTTTCCGAGCGGAGCATCTCCTACAGCTCTCACTTTGCAACAGGCTGCAGTTCCAATCAAGTACCTGTGTGTCTTGTTTCGCGCAGAGAACGCGGAGGGTCAATCACATCGATGTACAAGCGTGTCAGGCGGAGGACGACGAGCTAAAGGGAAGTTTTCTCGAAAACGAGGTCTACGTGGGAAGAATGAGCATAACGTTCTCCGTGCAGATCGCGTTTTTGAGTCAACCCGATTTTATGCGCGTGATTATTCGTTGACCGCAATCCGTAGATGACAGGGGTCGAGCCACAGTGTGCTCTACGGGGAATCAGACGGGCAGGAAGTTTTCAGATTGTGGAACGCATAGCGCTCGCTTAGGTGTGTGCAGGAATCCTAGCACGAAAAACGCTAAATTCCGCCATGATCGCACGGTTTTTACACCACGCTGTTCCCGATTTTTCGTCTTGAAACAGGTCATCATCGCAGTTTTGGCCTCATTGGTGGCTATCACTTCGGCTGGGGGATACGGAGGGGGATACGGAGTCGGCGCTCTCGGAGCCGGCGGTCTTGGAGCCGGGTTTGGAGCGGGATTGGGAGGCGTCGGTGCGGGCTTTGGGGGACTGGGTGCTGGCGTAGGAGCCGGTCTTGGGGCCGGCTTTGGCGGAGGCTTCGGAGGCCCCGTCGGCGTTAACGGAGTCGGACTAGGAAGCAGCGTTGTTCTTCTCAACGGCGGGGGAGGCGTCGGACTGGCTAAGGCGGTGGCTGGGCCCGCCTTTCTAGTCAGGAGTGTCCACCATGTCCATAAGGTCTCAGCAGGCGGCGGCATCTTGGCTCACAATGGCTTGGGGCCTGGCTTCGGGGGCGACTTCGGAGGAGGCTTCGCAGGCCGATCAGCAGGAGGAGGCTACGGAGGCCTCGGTGGCGGATACGGAGGTTTCGGCGACGGCTTCGGTGGCTACGGGGGCTACGGTGGCTACGGAGGCTATGGAGGCTACGGCGGATATGGTGGCTACGGGGGATATGGTGGCTACGGAGGCTACGGAGGCTACGGAGGCTACGGAGGCTATGGTGCTGTGGCCAAGATCTACTAACACGCACAATCTACTGGAGTAACCGAAAGGAACCTTCTTCGCGAGAAGTTTAGGTGAATAATACCAACTATACGGCGTGCAAGTTCGTCTGCCTGACAGCTTAAGAAACGCAGGCCTATCCTATTCACGAATTCTGGTGATCGGTTTGTCGGCGTTCTTACCGACTAATGCCTCCATCGCATTGGCTGTGGAGCGACAATGGTGCGCTCAGGACTGGTCACGTCCTGCGTTTTTTGGGCGCTCGTTGACTCTCCACAAGACCTGATGCGTGGCACGGCACCGATCCTCATGTTCATATCTATATAAGGTTTGGAGTGAATACTTTCTATCGCACTGGTTAAAAAACGTAACTTTTTACGCTATCTTTTGCCGGCAACGGTGGTGAAACTTCAGAGCACCCTTACGTTAGTTATGGCGGCCAGAAGGGGAAGTGTGACGGGCGTCTTATGCGCAAAATGATAAAGAGGGGCGCGATACGCGATGAAAGTTTTGAGAGAGCCTAGATTATAGAGAGGGTCTATCTCAAATCATGAGGTCGGACGCCACCGGCGAAGATTGGTCGCAAGTGCGCATGCGTTGTGTTTTCGCGTGGTAAGGAGAAAAACGGGCAGAAAGGCTGAAACGCTCGCAGACGGCCAACGTGTTCGTTCACCTCCACGCAGCTCGTATTGCAAACGCGGCCCATATACACCACGTGAACAAGATCGAGCGGTTGGAAACTCTCTGTAATGTAGGACCTCTCGAAATATATGGGGTCCGCTGACTCGCCTGCTGGCCGCAGTGCCCCTAGCGGTCCCCGAACATTCATTTCTTCGCGGAATTTTCATCGCGGCATTCAGGCGCACGACCCATTGAACGGGTGAAACGTGACCAATTTGTGTATAGTTGCCGAAACCGGAATCAAAAAATAAAGAAGCTATGTGACCTTTCAGCACACGCGCGGCGAACAGCGCGTGTGTTGCGATGAATATCTTCGCCACCGCGAGGGGAGCATGCAGGAGTCTGAAGGCGAGTCGTTTTCATCGCAACTCTGTGCAGCCCTTCGCTTCCACCCGTCAAACTTCTCCTACCAGCGAAAATACTTGAGTGTTTCAACAAAATCATTTACCGGAAAGTGACAACGTGCTAGCCATGTACTTACCATCGGGTTCAAATGAAATGCGAACGGTGACGGAAGTTTGAGCGCACTACCGGTGCAGCTCCCAAGCTTGGGTTGTGCTTGGCGAGGTTCAAGCACATCGGAGTAGGGCGCAGCAAGGTTGTGCGTCCTACTCCGATGTGTTTAAACCTCGCCCAGCACAACACAAGCTTGGAAGCTGCATCGGTAGTGGGCTCCAAGTTCCGTCATTATTTGCAGTTCATTTGAACCCGATGGTACGTGCTCAAATATAACGCCTCTGTTCTCGCCACCTACGAATTTACAGTTCTCAGCAGACGGAGGGTTACAATCTATGTCACTATATCATAGTCATCAAAATTGAAGCCTCGATAATTTCTCTCATCTCCTGTGCACCCATATCGGGCATGACTCCTTTGTGGTTCGTTATTCATAGCCCGTTACTTAATATAGGTTGTGGAGTGAAGATCAAACAGTGAAAGATTCCCAAGTCCTGCATGTATTAAACTTGCATGGGTAACATGGGAAAAATTTGAGAATACTTCGGGTCCAGAGACAGTCTCGTTGACACGGGTATTACTGCAACTGCGTAAAAAAACCAGTGTGATATTGGTGGACCATACGAGCTGAAACTGTCTTTCGTACTTTTTTTGGTGTACCTGCCAGGTTTCTGGAGAGCTGTGGTTCGGACAAGGAATGAAATGCGAAGTTCGAGGTTCGATGTTCGGACCATTTGACATATTGAAAGATAATAGAGCTTGGGGAGACCGCAGACGCAGAAAAAGGCCGGATCGGCTGTTTCAGCTCATATTGTCTGCGGGGGTACACCGCGCAGGACATTCATACGACCATGACATCAGAATTTTCTTTTAGGATAACATACTAATACAGGTAACTGTCTAACATCAACGTTTATTAATGCTTAAATCTGTGCTCCCATAAAAAAAAAAAAAAAAAAAACAACGTTACACCACCTAGTTGGATGCAGACATATCTATGAAAGTAAAACAAAATGGGGAAATACAAATACAAACGATTGAGTGTGCATTCTTACTGTGTCCAGATGTGAACGCGTACCTCATGACCACAGAAATGTGAAATATGCAACCTGACGTTTATTAATCGTTTTTCAATATATGACCATTTGTAACGGTCATTATTTTTCATGTGATGTTTTTTCTCTATCCTCTCAGCATCTCAGCGAAAACTCGCAGTCATCCCCTCCGCCTTCGTGAGGTTCAGACGAAGAACAAGAAATATCGCCGTCGAGTCCATGTTTCCACCCAAAGAAATAAAATCGGAAAACATGAATGTAAATAAATGATTCACAGACAATGTCGAGACTGTGCCTAATTTTTTCGACACTAGTCAACAATTTTCTTGGAGTGTTTTGATTTCTTTTTTTTAGAAATAGTAGGTACATAAAATTGAGCTGATGCCAATCTTGAGTGAAGATTGTTGCTCAAATAGTACAAAAAAAAAAATGAAAAGAAAAAAGACGACTGTTTTTTCCTGCGCCATCTTGGGCTGAAACCCTGCTTCCAAACGTTTCACTTTAAAAGAATACTGAAGTAAAAAAAAGTATTTTTTTAAGGGCGTCATTAAAACACGTATATTTTTTGTAACAAAAAAAAAACAAAACAAAAAAAAAACCCAAAAAAGCACAATATTTACGCCGTTAGACGCCATTTAGGAGGAGGTCACGGCCCGATCTAAGCCCTGCCCACAGATCAGTGGGCGGCGCCCATTACTACTGGATTGGCTTGGTTGCTTGGCTAACACGCTTGCGAGCTTAGTGTCTGCCTGTCGCGACGTCAGGTGCGTCTAGTCTGGCGTCTAGCTGCTCAACCCCTCGCAGAGCGAGAGACCGCAGTGCTGGGTTTTCTACGTCACCTATACAAGCGGCCATAGCGGGGCGCAGATTCTGCACGAGTCAGCTTTTGACTGGGAACTTTGATTCTCACCGACTTAACGCGAGCACCAGCGTAACGCTGACATAGCACTAGTGTCCAATTTGTTCCCACTCCTGGAAGGTTGTAGGTGACTTAGAAGATCCGGCGCAACAGGGCCTTGCAATCAAGGAATTGCTAACTCGCCGCAACGGTACGGACAAGAATGCAAAACATACCGTTCTTCCCCCCCCCCCCCCCTTTAAAAAAAAAAAAAAAAATTCAGAATTTTGTTTTTTAACTTGTCAGATGAGTAGCCAGTCCATGAGATCTGTGAGAGGAGCTTTGCGACTGACTACGCACAATAGCATGCTTCTTGAGTCCGAAATTGGATCTTCGTTGACACAGTGAACCCAACGTCTAGCAGGTGCTATAGCCCGGCGCCCCTCACATTACTTACACCACCAAAGTTCTACGTTGAGCATCACTGTTAGCACGAACACAGCTTCGGCGCTCTTTCGCAGTTTACTTAGAACGGGAGCTGACGGTCATCAAAATTTTCCACTTAGATTAATACCCCAACTAACCGCATTCCACCACTAGAGTAGTTTTGATGACCGTCCTTTAATACCGAAAAAAAAGCAAAGCAATGAAAATTGGCGATGGTCTGTTCGCTCTAACAGCGTCGCGGAGTGTACCTGGAACTGGAATCACAATGTGATGCAGAAAAGTGCGCATAAGCACGAAGTCCTTTGCCTGAAGAACTCCTCATTTTGGACACTGGAAGGAGTTTCCCTGTCTGGATTGTATCAAATGGCAAACAGACTTCAGGGTGTCCTCCCGGTCTTCAAAAACAAACTTCCCAACAAATAAAAAAAAACACAAAAAATTACAAAAAAAACAAAAAAACAAACAAAAAAAAAACAAACAACGTAAATGGTTTTATTTGCGCAACGGTAGTGAAAGTAGTTATTCTGATACCACATCGCATGGAGGAAATTGTTCACACCTAAAACTTTTAAATACTTCAAAAAATACGAGAAGGCTCCTCCATGTCATATTTTGCAAGAACTATAAATACGAAACTTGCAGGTTATGCATAAAAAGGACGGAATATAATAACAGTTGCTTGCGGTCAGTATAGGGTATTTCTAAATTTCACTGAACAGTATAGACAGGAGAAAAAATTCCGAAAGTCGTTTATCCTCATTTGTTTCTAAAACGGTAAACAGGTAAGTTTTGTTAATAACAAAACTAAAAATTATTGTGATAAAAAATTATATGGAGTAGCCGGCGCCGGTTTTAGGGCTGCCAATATCTCCCTAATCCCCAGTTATTTTCTCTCTCTTCTCAGTGAAACGTCCTGCCCAATGCGCCTGCGTACATCGCATTTTTGTTTTGCCTAATCGTATTTCGAGCTTCGTTAATCGATAGGAACCTTCTACTCTTCGCTCAGATTTGGTGCTTTAATAATGTAATCACTCTTTGCGAAGAGGCTTTTGATTTCGTTTTTTCAGCAATACTTAGTTTTTATAATAATTTAGGACTGTTAAAGTTTCGCATCATACAAGCTTTTACCTTTTTCGTTGCTGTTAAATGGAGAAGTTAACGAATAAGTGAAGCGGATATATGTTTCGGAGAATTTAGCTGGATCAGGTATACTTTTTTGTGATATTCTGACGGATTTGTGACGCCCGGCGACGGAGGCACTGGTTGCGGCACACACAACATACATTTAGAGATTGTCTGCATTTCCTCCAACATTACCAAGTTAAAAGCAGACAAATATGAGATAAAAAGACGACATGACCCTTTCAGAAGGTTAACTTCTGTCAAACGAAATAACTGAAACTGAAGCAAATCACATTCTTCCTACTCAATGTTTTGTTCTGTTCTTAGCTGGTTTGTGAGTTCTTAAGGCCAGGCCCCTAGCGGTGCTTTATACTGTCGAGATTTAAAAAATGACTACGGGTCGCTTGTTCTGATAGCAAAATGAAGATGGTCAACCGGGTTAGATTTGCCTCAGTATTTTTGGCAAAGAAATGCGACGTGGAGGCAGAAAATTAGAGGTCTGTATATCACAAAGTTGAAGGTGAGCCCGTTGGTTGCCCAGTTAGACGTTACTTAAAACACACAACACACACACATACACACGCACACACACATACATGCATACACACACACACATATATATATATATATACATACATACACACACACATATATATATATAAGGGGCGGACAAAACGAATATCAGCCAGTTTTTACCGTGAACGATTTTCAGTGAAACGTCAAACACGTGTTAGATAGTCAATGTAGAGCGTTGTTGCAGACAAAAACGTATACCTTCGCTGGATCTACCGTGATGATACTATCATACTCGCAGCCGCATAGATCGAATCAGATAATTCAATTCTAACTAAACTCCTCCGTAAAGAAAAAAAAAGTTACTTTATGACCGCAGTAAGAAAGCGGATTACTGGAGTCTATTGTTCTTTAAAGACAAACGTCAGGAAGAGGCCATAATACTCGAGGCTTTTGGGCATCTAGGCTGCAAGTAGACACTGGACACAAACTAGCACTGAATTTAGATATGTGAGATAAAGCTTGTTCGGGCAAAATCTAAGACGGATAAACACAGGCCAGTTTGTTGCATCCGTCTCTAAAGGGGCAGGCGCTTTTTAGGTCAACCTATTCCGTCTGGCACATCGACTTTCTCCTAAGTGTTTCTTCTTGGCGGAAACGGATTGTGAACAGAAATACGCCGTTGTCGTCACGAACTTCCCGCTTTCGAGTAATCGCACCACGAGGCTCAGGGGCGACGCGACAAGATAATAGACCCTGCACGTGCTAAACAGTGGCGCAGGTTTTGTATATAAAGACACTGTGGGATCGTCCAGACTCAAGACAGTCTCAGCTGAAGTCGCAACCATGAAGTTCCTGGTAAGCAAATCGGCCCAGTCGACCCATTGAAGTGGAATGTCTTTGGACTTTTTTGTTTAAAAATGATAATAATTATTTTCACAGGTCAGTTAGCAAACTGCATGTTACCTGACTACTCATCAATTTTGGCCCTCTTTGTATTTCACCTTATTTATGATTAATCGTTCGCGAGTTCTTGTTTCCCAGAGTTGCCTTGCACCGGACTTTGGCGAACGTAGATGGTTAATTGATTAGGTTTGGAAAATTGAAAACCTTTATTTTACTTTGACAAAAACAAAAGAAGCGTTTATAGGTCTCTCAAGGATGGCAAAGTCAAGATGAAAGACATATTTTCTATTATATAGGCAAGCATATTTAAAAATTCAAACGACCTGAGACTAAGCACGGACATGCACCCTTTCCGGATATGTTCGTTGTTTCGTTGTGTTTGGCCACGTTTGCAGAATATATTTGATATAAATAACCAAACCAATAAAAAGTAAACATTTTAGTGGAGCATATAATGTAAATCAAGGACTTTCCGCAAAAACAACAATACACACACACAAAACAAACTAATTATTCTTAGCGCTCGCGCTGTGATACCCATAACTTGAATGTGCCATGCAACTTTTCTCAATGGTAAACTCTCTGCAGGAGAGTCATCCCGTCTATATTTATAAACAACGTGCAAGACAATGGCCACGTCGCACTTTTTTTAAAATTTATTTTGCTTTAAAGGCTAGGCAATGTAAAAAGTATATTTAGACTTACGGCATAAGCACTGACGTTCGCAACAAAAGTTGAAGGAAAACGATGAACCCGCTTACTTAGGCCACTAATGGTAAAATTTGCACGCTGTAGTGCAGTGAAACTTGGTTCATTACGAGTCTAATAATAAAGACATCACGCTACTGACGAATATGTGCCACGGTCCTATAAGTGAAAAAATTAGACGCTCGACTAGATGCGTCCTTTGTAGATACATGTGCTCCATGGTTCTCGACAAGATATATTTGCGTCCGAAATCGTTGGTTTCCCGGAGCATTTTATTGTTAAAATCAGCTTCAGTGTGTATGCACTGACGTGATACAGTTATGCGTAAGGGTAGGGAAGGTGCCAATAATTGCATTGTATTACCAAGGACATATATATGGTGCTTTTAAGCTTTACAGATTTGTTAAAAAAAGCATGAAAGTTACACTATTGCGGATTGTGCAGGTGAGTTATACGGCCAGGGAAAAATAATACAGAAGGCCAATGGTCACGAACAGTCAGGTAATCAACTAAAATATATTAATTAGCCTTTTAAGTTGAAAATAAACCTTGACTCCTTTGAGAAACTTGCTAGAGTCATCGAAAACCAATAAATAAGTCCATTTTAAAAAGCTTCGAGCACGTGGGAAGTACGGTGGAGCGTTAAAGTTACCACTGGTGCAGCAGGAGCACCGGTGCGATAACACGTCCGCGTGCATTTTCCGTCTCTTATCCGCATTCTCTCACCGCCAGCCTTGTACCTCTTGCACGAGTGGTAACTTTAGCGAACTATTGCGCTTTCCAGGAGCTCAAAGTCTTTCTAAAAATTCCTGCTTTAGTGGTCGTCAATGATGCTCAGCAAATTTCTAATTGTAACCATATGTTCGTTTTTGATCATTAAAAAAAGTTAATTAGAAATTGTAGTTATTCCACTTATCGTGACAGTTAGCCCTCTATATAATGTTCCCCTGGCAGTATAACTCAACTGCACAGACTGCATTAATGTGGCTTTCGGGGATCTTTAAAACAAAACTGAAAAGCGAAAAAAAAAGCAAAAAAAATTTTTTTTTATATGGCACGAGTTCGGGGGTGAGCAGGAAACAAATATTAGCAGAGAGAAAGAGAACAAAAACTAGACGTGTTTCTCCAGCTTTCGGCAGTAACTGAAAAAACGAATGATCAGGGGGAGGCACTCTGACATGAGGCAATTTCAAAACAGTCCAACAAAGTTAGAAGCGTTCAGGTGAAGGCAATACACACTAAAAATTGAAAGACGTTTACAATTCTCTGTAATGCCGAATTTGAGCGCAGCTCTTGAAGTGGAGGAGGGGAGGGTACGGAGGGGAAGGCATGCGTCTCCTCCAACTCCGTACCCTCCCCTCCTCCTCTCCTGCCCCCCCCCCCCCCCCCTATTAGTGTGAAATTTTCCGCTAAATTTAGCAAAAATTTCCTCACTAAATTTAGTTCGAAAAAATTTCCGCTCAATTTAGTGGGAAATTTAACAACAATAGGGAGTTTCTGTAGGCCGCGTTTCCCGCTCCGCTAACTCCTCCGCAACGAAGCATTTGCTACTGCGCCTGCGCGCCGATTGCCTTGACTGTAGAGATCCGGGTATCGTAGCGTGTTGCGGAGGGCCGTTGCGGGACGGCTAAAACGACCTGCAAAAACTCCATATTTTCCAGCTAAATTTTGCAGAAAATTTAGCGGGAAACTTTTACACTGGTGACGTCACGTGAGATGCCACGTGTGACATCACGAGGGTAAAATTTTCCCGCTAAATTTGGCGAGAAATTTATACACTAAATTTAGCAGAAAAATTTTCCCGCTAAGTTTAGCGGAAAACGTTTTCCGCCAAATTAGGCGGGAAAATTTTACCCTCGTGACGTCACGTGTGACGTCATTGTGAGAAACGTCCCATAATGCAACGCCCGGTTACACCGACGCCGACGCCGCTCAACCCGGAAATGGGCGCCTAAGAGCTGCGCTCTAAAATATTACACGATTAAGACTGTAAATCATCTTGTCCCTGATAGGACGCTGGAAAATACACTAAGATAGGGTGCTGGCGATCTGTGCAGCATTCTAAGTATAAAGGTTTTGTAAGCAGCAAGCACCACATGCAGTTCTCACATGCAAAAAAACAAAACAAAAAAACAAAACAAAACAAAAACAAAAAAAAACAGCCAATGCAGACGCAACGATATAGTCGCAAAATAAGTTGTTTGAAGCGGACCTTAGTAAAGCAAACATCCTTGAAACATGAAAGGCGTTTTTACTTCAGTGTAGCAGCTTTTCCACACCCTTTTTATAACCTTCAAAAACTGAGGGGTGTTTCTTGCAGCAGCACCCTTTTTTGCCAAGGAAAGTTAGCAAAAAGAGTGGTGATTCAATCGCAAGCGCGGGTTGGGCGAGGACTTCCTGCCATACTTTAATTTGTTACGTGCCTTCTTATTGTCTTCCAGATTGCTGCAGCTATCTTCAGTGCCGCGGTAGCAGCTGTCGTGGCTGGAGGATTGGGTGGTGTATATGGAGGCGGCTTTGGAGGTGGCTACGGAGGCGGCTTCGGTGGCGGCTACGGAGGCGGCTTCGGAGGTGGCGGCGTCGGCCTGGGAAGCAGTGTTGTCCTTCTCAACGGCGGAGGCGGTGGCTACGGCAAGGCCGTTGCTGGACCAGCCTTCCTGGTCAGAAGCGTTCACCACGTCAACAAGATTAGCAGCGGAGGCGGTATACTGGCTCACACTGGATTGGGTGGCGGCTACGGAGGAGGCTTTGGAGGTGGATTCGGAGGTGGATACGGCGGTGGATTCGGCGGTGGTTTCGGCGGTGGATACGGCGGTGGATATGGCGGTGGATATGGTGGTTTATATGGAGGTGGCAAATATTGAACTTCATGCAAGGACTAAATGGTTGGTTCTAGTTCATTAATTTTAAGGCAATATAACGTTTTAGCTAGCGTTACTGTGATACCGCTACTGTTATTGTTGTACCGGAAAAAGACCATGACTATACCGCGAAGAAAACATAGCCATCTGTCAACTTACACGGAAGTACTAGAAAGATAACTTTTCTATAAGATAGCACTTGGCTGGAACACTTTTCTCTTGGCACTTTCCCGGCTTGGTTCCGGTATGACGGTAACGGTGTTACGGTAACGCTATGCTCAACCTCCCTAATAATACGTTTTTACTGACATCTGCATTAATAATAACTGTGTCGGATTATAGTGGGGACGTTGGGGAATTCCTGAACTCTCCACAAGTGTTCAGTCATATAAGAATGTTCGGGATGTGATTAAGCCAGGAACTGATTCTTTCAGCGCAAGACGGAATACATCATCAGGCTGATTCCTCACCGGGAGAAGGCGATTGTCAGACCGAATCCCGATAATTTCATCGCAGGAGATCAACACCTGTATGCATGCTGTAAATAAAACGTTCCTTCGGTTGTATCTGCCAACGTCTGGCTCTGTGATCTCTTATAGAGTGAAGTACAATAACCTAATTTACAACCAAAAACAAATACCCTCCCCCCCCCCCCCAAAAAAAAAAGAAATGAAAAGAAAAAAAGGTCATAATAATTCAATCGTATAATTCTGGTTTAAGATTTGGCCCATAGAGGATCTATACAAAAGGATTGAAAGCTGAGTGTGGACAGATGCACACACGCACACACACAAAAAAAGAAAGTGCACAGAAAAGACAGGAGAAATTCAAACGCATACCACTAGCAAGCGCTTACTCACAACTGATAGTTTATTTAAAACTGAATCGATAATCAGTGCTTGTCACGAGTGAGCTCATGCGCAGTCAAACACGCAAACCTTTCCTGTTATTGGTGGCACATAGTCTGATTGCATAAACATTAAATTGTAAACTAGGATGGTCATGAGCCCCTGACTAAGAGTCAGGCACGTAGCCATGCGGGGGGGGGGGGGGGGGGGGGGGGTTGCCATTGGGCCCAGCCCCCGCCCCCGAAATCTTCCATTTTGCAGGGTCCTCCTCTCCCCCCTCCCTCTCATGCAGCAATTTGTCATAAGCGCCCCCCCCCCCCCCCCCCAAAAAAAAAAAAAAAAAAAAATCCTGGCTACGTGCCTGCTAAGAGTTCATGCCCTGGGCGGCTACGCAAGACGGCGCGACGTCTTGCGTAGCCGCCCAGTTAATCTATATTATATTATATTAATATAATCTATATTAACTGGAATCCAGTTAATATAGATTCCAATGTGTTCACATTTTACAGGAATTGTTCGCTGGACCTATTTTTCGCGAATTGTAGGCGATTCGCGAAATTCGCGAAATTTAGGTAGTGGCGAAATTTAAATCGTTTACAGCATATCTCTCCGTTACGAATGTACACTATCTCATCAACATTTTAGGAATTATGTTGTTTGCTAGCCTGAGATTGTAATTACGAGGTTGGTCGAAGTCATGAACGCAGTCATAAAACAAATTTGCTTCGAAATAAAGGGGGATCGGTGGCCGAGTGGTTTAGCGCACACCAGCTCGGAGCACGTGGAGCGAAAGCTCGCGCTGCAGAACCCAGGGATCCTGGGTTCGAGCCCCACCCCTGCCCGTTTCGATCTGGATGAGCATCGTACCGGCGTGCGGTCGTGTATCACTACTGCGTGGTGCACGTTAAAGACCCCAGGCTAGCGGCTGTACCGCACTGGCTAAATTGCTCATCTACAGCTGGGAGACTCGTCGCCCCTGTGAGGCAGACCAAGTTCTAGGCTGTATAAACACACGCACAACCCAATTTGTTTGCTTCGAAATAAGAGAAATAACGTTTGGACACATGTATGATATATTTTAACGCGCATTTGAAGTGGATAATAATTTATCATCGAGTAAGCCAGGTAGCTACTCGTTACTCAAAGGAGGCCCATATCGTTCGGTATTCCCCTGTCTTGTGCCCATTGAAACAAGAACGTCATTTCCACGTCCGCAGGTGGACTGCAGTTTATCGTTACTCTGGCGCCTCCTGACATAATGTTATTTTGTGCTATACTATATTTCACCGTAAAAAAAAGGCTGTTTCACACACTTGCGACTGCTTACAACCGCGTGCCTTAAAACACCTTAAAATATCTTACGACGAGAGAACGCAGTGGTGCCATGTATTGGGTAGCCATGGAACCCTTGGCATTTCCTTATATTTCCTACTTTTTTCGCACGTTGTTCTTTCTAGATTGGCCTGAAAAACTTCTGACAATGTTATAAAGAAGCATTTCTCATAGATAGTACATGCATTTGATTTCACAAATGCCGCGAAACCTTCGCTGTAGTGAAACGCAGTTCCAGAGCCACCTCATAGGTGGCGTCAGCGTGCCGGTTTGTTTTCTCGTCGTAGAAGATCCCAAGAACTCGATCGTAAGCAAACGTAATTGTGTGAACAGGCCTTGAGAGTACAGTCAAAGGTCAGATCTCGAAGACATCAGAACACGGACACGCCTAGTAAAGTCTTAAAATCACGGCGAATGCATTGTACTTGACTGGTTGATGAGAGGAACTCACAAGAAAATGGCGAGCGCCGTTACATTGCGTATTTGGCACTGCTCGATTGATTTTATTGGGCTGTAGTGTAGGCTGCGCCCCGAGTTACAGTGAAACTAAGTATTGTAGAAAATTGGGGGGACATAATACGTCTTGCAGGTAACGGCAGAAGTTCAAAATGATCATTGTGTCATGGTTGAGCCGGTATCGATTATATCACATGGGTAACCAGAGACGTTTGCAATTAAACTAAAGATGACGGAGATCTGTGCAAGTAGAAGAGGAGAGGAATTAAAAATAAGGTAAAACGGTAGAAAATAAAATGACTTAGATGCAGATGAAGTTATGGGAGCAAATAACACAGGCGTTTCAGGTATTCCTGGGGCTTTTACACAACAGGGGATATTAAAACCAAGGGTTCCTCGATAGTAAAATATGTGGCCTTAGTGCGCCGTGGCAAATGTCACCGAGAAACGGATCTGTCTTAAATGCTTCCATGCGTTACTGTTCAGTTATTTGGGCGGATGAACGAAATAAACTTTGACCCTCGTTGAGTTCCCATGAGTTCTCAGAAAGATCGCCAGAAGTGTTCTTCACTTGTATATTTTGTTGCATTGTCAGCCCAGCTCACGAAGTTCTGGCCCGTTTGAATTGACAAAGCACGTATAGTGTTTTGCGTAGAAGATCAATATAAAAAAAAGAATGAGAGCAAACTGTTTATTCAAATGTTTTCACGCTGTTCATGGTTATGGTTTTGCAACCATAATGCTTCAACCTGATGGTGATTCTCCGGCCTATGATGATGGGAGTTGTTCTCCTCTTCTGCTAGAAAAGCAAGAAAGACAACACAGTCAAACAATACAAGCACGTAACATGACTATTTCGAAGAGTTAATACTTTTGAACTGCAATTAATTGCTTTTTGCATAATAAGAATATATATATTTTTGGTTATAAAGAGATGGTATCATAAATAATGAAAGCAGACTTGGAAGCAAAATTACCATTTCCTAAGTTTTGTTCGCTTGGCGATCGTCTGTCAACCCTTGAGAAGCGCTTTATAAGCGCCGTAGGCTCCCGGTCCGTAGAGACCAAGGCCACCGGCCAAACCACCGCCAAGACCACCACCAAGGCCACCGCCAAGACCACCGCCAAGACCTCCAAGACCACCTCCAAGTCCACCTCCGAGACCCCCTCCCAGGCCAACTCCACCAGATCCAGGACCGTATGCTCCTCCCAAGCCAGTATGGGCCACGACGTTTCCTCCGCTGGAAACTTTGTTAACGTGGTGGACACTCCTGACTAAAAATGCTGGCCCGGCCACCACCTTGGACAGTCCGGCGCCACCGCCGCCGTTGAGAAGGACAACGCTGTTTCCTACTCCTACTCCGTTGACACCGACCGGGCCGTATCCACCGTATCCACCGTATCCACCGTATCCACCGTATCCACCATATCCACCATATCCACCATATCCACCGTATCCACCGTATCCACCGTATCCTCCGTATCCGCCATAGCCAGTAATCACTCCGCCGGAGAAAGCCGTGGCCAAGAGGGAGCACAGAAGGATGCTTGCAATCTACACAGAAATAATGAAGGCATGACCCTTTAATAATGGTTTAGACAACACGTTGTAGCAACGCTGTGGGTGCTGACTCACAGTTGCACAATTAGAGGGAATTAAATAGTACATGCATTGACTAGAAAAGAAAATGATACAAAACCATTATTGGCGCAAAGCTTATTTTTTTTAAAAATCAGATTCGAAACTTTGTAGTTGGTAGGTGTTTACACTATACGTTTGATTTGTGGCATTTAATGTAATAAAGGGGTAGTTGGACATCCACCATTGATCTTGAAAGTAGATGCTGACGTTTGCAATGGCATGAAATGTTAATGTGACTAGAAGAAAGAAGGGTCCTGACTACTATACTGTGAGTGAATGTCTTCATCGCAGTACGTTACACTTCGCTTGATAACTCTGATTATTATATTGTTATGAGAAATAATAATATACATCTGGTGGTACTCTAGCTACGAATACAAGATGATTCAGTTCACTGAAAGGCCGCAGTTACCGGTGTTTTAACTAGCATTTAATAAAAAAGAAGACAAAAACAGTGACTGCAAAACATTGCACTAAGAAATTTGCAACAGATGAGTAAAGAACTCAATTTATTTATTAAAGCTTTCTACAAGTTTCTCAAGACTATAGCCTGCAAAGTTCCTGTTCATTAGCTAAAACCTGGCCTTATTAAGGCAAGTTGACTGTCAATGTTACTTTTTAACTCAATTAGTCCTACACACTGACATCGATCCCAATATCTATGCCCAAGAAAACAAAGCCCAATCGATAGCCCTT